GGTGTTTGTTTTTAGCTGTGACGTGTTGTTTCTGTGCAGGTGACAGATACTTGACACCATGTCCTGCTCATCAGACACTGAGTCACTGCTGTTTCCATGTCATAATGATTGATTTTTTTTCTCTCACAAACGAACATATAATCCAGTCTTTTCATTTTCAACTCAACTCCCCTGAAGGTTAAAAACCCCAAAGGAACATATTATACATTATTATATGTAATAGCAATAATAATATTCCTTATTATTATTGTTGTTGTTGTTATTATTTTTAGAGTCCCTGATTCCTCCTACAATGGAGAAATTCAGTGTGAGACTTTGCAACCGACACAGGCTGCCACACGGAGGCGCTATTAAGGACTCTTTGCTCTAAAGACAGGGTTTCTAACCACTACACTACAATCGTTCGCTCTTAGAATTTGACAAACGTAGATATAATAATGTTGATAATAGTAATTTAGTCTGTTATTACCTCCGACAATAGGGAACTGAACCGCGTGAGTCTTTGCAACCGACGCAGGCTGCCCACAGGAGGTGCCATTGAGCTCAAGGTCACAGCTCCCAGGCTGCCACACGGGACGAACCTTATTTTTTTATTCACAATAATCGATTGTTTTATGTCATGGGTGTTTTTTTTTGTCGTTGTTCCTCAGCACCGTCCGCCTCACTCTTGTTCACTACTAATGAGGTACTGCAGTACCAAAGCATTTACGACAGAACTACACATACTGTGTTTGGAAAATTCACAGTATTTTTTAATTTTTTTTAAACCGTTGATAGTACCGAACATCGAAGCATCTCTTTGCAAACGGTACCAACGGTGGCAACAGTTCCAACTTGGTGAAAGATTTAAAAGACAAGCACCACCATCTGTACGTGTAAGTTAAAGGAACGACAGGTACCGACATTTTTACCCATGGAAACAAAAGCCTGTGTTCAGTGACACTCCTGCCTACACACACACACACACACACACACACACACCAGTAGCTCTGGAAAATATTTAAGCTAGAGTAATACCTCGAGATACAAGCATAATCCGTTCCAGGACCGAGCTGGTAACTCCAGGTGCTCGTATCTCAAATCATTTTTTCCCATTTCCCCGTTCCGACGCTCTAAAAAACTCCCTTATTAGTGCTAATAACAATGGGGAAAAGATCTTTTTAATTGCCATAGAGACACACAAAAAAGTTATTGTATGTAAGGACTCCTGAGATATAAAATAAAATGTGGTTTTAATTATGAGTTCTTACCTTCGAGACAGACAATACAGTAGCGGCGCTACAGTAGCGGCTAACGGCGGCATGTGCGGAGGAGGAGGAGAGTTGGCACTTGATTCCGTACCGTATCTTACACAAACACCACGTAACTTTTTTTTAACCCATTGCATTTCTGTTCTCATGAATCAAACGTCACAGAAAGAATTCTGTCGCACATAAACTCTTTGAATCTTGAATCATATGTAGAACTGCTGATTCCTGATCCATTCGGAGTGGCCTCTTCATTCTGTCAAAGCACACGTGCGTGATCTCTACAGTGGATTTTATCTAGACGTTTATATAAAAAAAGTTTCACACAGTTTGGAAATTATGTTCTCCCTTTATTTCGAAAAGTATCGAACCACACGTTGGTACAGGTATCGATACCAAACTGTTGGTATCGTGACGACACCACTTTTGTATTCTCTCCCGTTTGGTTGTTTGCGCAATGGATTAATCAAGGTTTTATTTTAACCTTTTATTCTCGTATAAAAAAATGTTTAACATCAAGAAAAGCTCAAAATGTGTCTCAAAATTGTGTCGTAAGGGTTAAAATTCATCGACTTCACTCAGTCATTCACAGGAATCTGAGCTCCTTCAAACGTTTGACGTAATCAGAATAAAGACATTTTGGTGATGTGTATAAATGGTAGGGGTGTTTATTGGCAACAATCTGGAGATACGACATCGATAGAAAACAGATATCGACAGATATCGATACACCGTGATATCCTACAATTCACGGGTATCGATACACCGTGATATCCTACAATTTAACAGTAGTCAAAGTGTGATCATAGTTGAGACTCTGCTGCTGTTCCATCTGAACATCAGGTTACTAACGTTGGAACAGACGGATCTACGTTGGGAATCACTAGAGAAGAAAGAAAAGAAAAAAGAAAATGAACCGACACCAGGAATATTGGACTGGGAATTGGTGATAAAAATGGATATGGTCCTGTAGACCAGCAGGGTCCCCAAGCACCGGTCGGCCGGTGTCAACTGTTGCTGCGGACCGGTTGAAGGATCATTACATTTTCAAAATCAAACATCTGAGTTTGACCTCCGGACTGACACCGGTTCGCTGGTTAGGGACCCCTGCTGTAGAATATCGATACGGTATCGCAAAACAAAACATCACAATATTTCAGCGTAACGACATTTCCTAAATCAGACTAATTTCTGCTGCCGCCATCGTTCAAGGTGAAAGCCTTGGCTTTGACTGGTACTCACACTGAAAGTTCTCTTCCTGATTCTTTCACTTTTACTTTACACAGATAAAGGTCTGAAGAAACACAGAGTTCAAACTGAAACTTGAAGATATGCTAGAACATGATAGTTATGGATGCCAGTGAAACCAGTCTCGTATGCCAACCTGGTAGAATTAAATTACAGTTTGTCCAGTTGTGCTGCATTTTTAATTGTTTTTTTTCCCCAAACAAATTGTGAACATTTTCTCCCCGAAGCTTTTTACTTTATCGTCTTTACATTTTTTGTTTTTTGTATTCCTGTCTTTCTCTACTGCCTCCAGCCCTCAATAAAAATTATCAGTCAGCATCGCTGTGTTGTGTCTGTGTCTGGTGAAGGAGGTGTGTGCGTGTGTGTCACCCTCTGGAACTTCTTTGGAACTTCTGAGCAGTCGACAACAAAACAGTTTGACGTGCGGTTGCACTCCTTCAGAAAACATCTGATAATCACGTTGAGATTCAAAGGCATCAAAAGGTTTAATTCACAAAGACTGCAATGACGAAGATTAGCATGAATAGGTTAACATTCCTGTCATGGTGTGTGTCTACATATGTGCCAGTTCACCGCCTTGGGAGAGAGCCAGTAGCGGGATAGGCTAGAGTGACAGAGTTGCCTTCAGCGTTGGTGAAATACTGTTTATCATTACGTTTTGTAGCTTTTTCTTTCAGTTTTTTAAAGAATACAATCATCGTTTACAAAAAAAATTCTGTTTGTCTACACAATTATGTGTAAAACAGCGCCCCTCTAAATATAATGTGGTGAATGAGTGTTGAAAACATGATACTGCATTGTGTTGTCTGTTGCCCGTCACAGTGTCATTGACTTCTCGTTCAGGGAATTGTTTAGTATGAATCACTTGGTTCTGATGATGTTTCCAACAATGTCGCCCAGATTTGATTGATCTGAGGGCAGATGTTTTTGACTGAAGTCCAAGTCTGACATGATTTTAGGATAAAAACAATGTTGAAAAAAAGACTTTTTAAATCCAAATCTTGTCACTGTTGTTTTTTACTGAATCAGTCCAGTGATGATGTTTCAAGTATAAATGTATTTACCAATAATCTATCATCATTAACTTCTACACAAAAATTAATTAATTGATATGTAACATATTAATTGTTAACTTAATATATTACGTGGCGAGCTGCCTGTTAGAACATTTCTTAACCTTGGTTTTTGGTCTGTTGCAACGGCCCCAAAACCAAACTTGCAGGAACTGAAGAAAGCATTTGTTCCTGTAAACATGAGCAGATTTATATAATCGCGCTATAGAGTGGTGGCTAGCAGGATTAGCTTGGTCTAAAACTGCTATGTGCCAACAATCCAGTCTTGGAAGCAGCTATTATGCTACATTCTGCACACTACTAGAACATTTCTAGTTAGCTATGTGCAAGCACATGCTTAAAACACTACTTACATGCTAGCATAAAGTCCTAGCCTAGTGATAACAGCCCAGGCATCTTTGATAATATGAGTTTCTTAAATCCTGTAGATTTATTTTGCCTATTTCTTGTGGAAGTTGCGAGCCAGTTGACAGGATTAGATTTAGTGAGTTAACAGGAAGGGGAGCTGCTTGCTAACTGATAACACACTATTATATGGTTAGAACCGTTAAGGTATGTTACAACATCCTGCTTCATATGTCAGTTAAGGGCAGAGGATGTAACTAAAAAAAAAATATTGCAACTGCAAAAGCACCAACTGATCTGAGTTTGAACTGTGAGATAAGGTTTGAATGCTTGGAAACAAAGACGGAGAAATGTCCTCAGAAAACTGAAGTGGTTACGATATCGCACAAACACCATCAGACACTGAACGTGTTCTAAATATGCAGCTAAAATTGATGACAGACTATAATTATATAAACTCATTTTGGAATCCAGTCGCGGGCCACCAGTTGATGGTCACCGGTTCACACAGAAGTTCTGCTAATGTCGTTTTCAGCTTCATATCAAAAGCACTAATTCTTTTTAATGACACTCCGGTGTGCACCAACGACTAACCTGATGATTGTTACCGTTTCTTTACGTCAGTGCAGCGCAGTCATGGCAAGTTTCAAAATCTTTTAAGTCATGTTTCTTGAAACAGGACATGCAAATTGATAATCTGTGGTATAAGTTGTGTTTTTTTTTTTTTAAACCTGCTGAAAAAACCCTTTTGCTTTGCAAACAGCTGGAGGGTTCTTTTAAAATGTGCAACCCACATGAAGCAACGGAATGTAGGTTAAACAGACTAACCAGTAATGAGTTAGTGGTTGGTGTTTCCATGTAACTGCAGACGCAACAGTCTGGGTGGGTGGTTGTACCGACACGCAGCTTATCTATGCAGTGTTTCAGTTAGTCATGTGAACAAGTTTATCATCAACCTCCCTTGCTATTGTGAAAGTACTTCAGAGTGTCATCATTTTTTCGGTTATTTCCTTGCGTTTTGATCAATAGAGTTTATCCATTTATCTATTGTTTACAGGCTGTAGTTCTCTACATTAGTTTTTTTTTACTTGAAAAATCAATAGGCTATATCGTAAAAAATGCGGAGGAATTTATGTACATGATCAAATTTTACTTACTTGGTATGAAAACTTTTTTTTTTTTACTGAATATTTTTTAGAGCTATTATCTTCCGCCCTGCTTCTGTATTTACTTCATATCTATCTGAGCTCAGCTTTTCAAGCACAACTGTTCAAAAAAACTTTTTTTCTTCAATTCCTGCCAGCGTATCAGTGCTGTCTTCAACTAAACAGGCTCAGGCTTCACACTGAGTAAATCAGCTGTGAGGAAATCCAAACTAGAAGATTAGTTTGGATTTCATTATTTCATTACATCGTGATTTTGGGACAAAACTCACAAAACTGAAAGGTTCCAAAACTCTAGAACTAATCCTAGAACTAATGTAACCAGGATTCTGTTAACAGTTTTTGTTTAGTTTCTCAACAGCGGAGGTTACCACGTTCCTCTCTACCAATGAAAAGCATGAACTGAAATCGAGGAAAGTCCAGCTTCTGCTGACTACCACAATTTGAAATCTTTATGGATTTTGTTGTTGCGCTTTTGACCAACCGCGTGCCACAGATTTTGTAAGACGTCAGAAAAGGAAACAGCAAAAAGTTTACAAAAAAGGCCTTTTAATTTCCTTTTAACTAACCATACAGAATAAAACAGGGAAATGAATCTGTCAAAGAAACCATTAATCAACAGGATTCACGGCCCAACACCACACGTCTACAGAAAAGCGTGTGTATGATCAGAATAAATTAAAAACCAGGTTCTGAGGCTCCACCCGCAGAGAGGAAACATGGGAAAATGAATCTCGCCATATTAGTATTATATTGGGTTAAAATTACTATATATATGTACTATCTAAGCATTAACGAGTTTTACTATAATTAGTAAAAAAATCCATCCGTATAATAATGTGAATATTTGTTATCGGTACAAGGTGTATTGATAGTACGTTGGTTTATATGAATTCCACTGTGTGATAATACAGTATATTCTAAGTGTTTTTAATATATGTTGTTAAATTCTATTACGTGGTATAGATCAGTATGCTACGCCCGGGAACACAAACCTAGCATTAAATATCTTTTTGTGTCCAGAAAAAAACAAAAAAACTTTTGATGAAAGAAAGGCGTGCGAAGAATCTACTTTTTAGTCTAATATTTTACATCATATTTGCTGTAGTGCATAGTTTTCTATCTGCAAGTTTACATGTTGACGAACTAGCTAGAGCGTTACCGTAGACTGCATATACGTAAGAGACAGATCCAGGACGAAAACCACTGGTGTAAACAAACCTCGTTGTCAGTGGGAGTGAAGGGGAAATCACGAAGCAACACAAACGGGTGTGAACACACGCAAACCCACACAAACGAACACATGCAAAGGCCGTGAAAAAGAAGAGGAAATTCTCATATGAAGTAGGAACTTTTCCCATCACATACGATCGAACCAACTATGCTTTCATCATACAATATATTATATATGTATGTAAAATATTTATGTAATATATTATTTTATATATATAAAATATATGTGCATGTGACTAAACACATATATGTCATGGTCACATATTATATAACTATTATTATTAGGGCTGTCAAAATCTTTACATTTTTTAATGTATTTCAACCCAATAAGGCGCAATTTATCTGGATAACTCCATCCATGTTCCCCAAAGACTGGGTCGTGACCCTCAGGTGGGTCGCAAATTTATTTTTTTTGGGTCATCTCGCATCATGATTCCCAGGAGTTTATGAATAATGTCTATCGACTTGGGTCGTTAAGGTTTGTGATTTTTTAAATAATTCCTTCATGTGGAATTTATCGTGAATACACAGGAAAAAACCTTTTTTTAGTCATATTTTAGAACGTTGCTTTATCTGAATTAATCAGGATTAAACCAAAAATGTTATAGTTTGACAACCCTAATAATTATTATAATAATAATAATAAAAATATATATTATTTAATGATCACTGAAAACTCTTCTTCACACAAAAGTGAATTTTTTTGTCATTGTGACACAGCATACCACTGCACACACAACGTAATGTGACCTCTGCTTTTCACCCATCGCCAAAGTGAGCCGGGGTGGAATCGAACCGGACCCAAGTCCACTTCCTTAACCACCTAGCCACCACTGCCCCCATGTAGCCTTGTATAGCAGCTTCCACAGCTGGTTCTCTATAAACCTGTGAGGTCTACGATGGCTTTGATGAAGATGGTGTCATCTCGCAGATATTGGCTCTTGCCCGCCAGTTTGGCCAGCGGACAGAACAGCGGACAGCCGCTGGCGATGTTCATCTCACTGATGGGCCGCTGGAAGGACGTGGAGGTCACGTCGGGGCGGAAAGCGTCGATGATGTGTTCCCTGTTGTTCTGGTCCAACAGCATCAGCGTCACCTGAGGAAACAAACAGGAACAGTTGGAGTCCCGTCGTTGCTGCCTGTTGACAGGAAAAGTTGCCGTTGCTGTGGCTCGGTCCTACCTTCTGACTAAAAGGCCACTTGAGCAGAGCATCAAACCTGCCCCTCATGACCACGAAGAACAGCGATAGGTGAGTTCCTCGGCCGGTTCCGTCGCCGTTTAAGTAGAGCCGAAGACACATTTTGTAGCCATATTTGCTAGAGTAAAATGCTGAGGAAGAAGAAAATGAAGAACTCAGAACGCGAACAGAAGATAATGTAGAAACGTTTGGTTAAGGACAACAATGCTAGGCTACACGGGCTACAATGTCACTGTTTAAAAAAACATGTAAATATATATATGTATATGTGTATATTTATATATACATGTGTATATATACATATATGTGTATATATGTATATATATATATATTTATATATATATATACCTTGCAAAATGACACCATCACTACATTTTGCCCACGATTACAATAATATCACTATACAGCGATTTTGCGATAATCAATATACTGCTCTGAAACCATTTCACACAAATTACAATATATTGTCAATCAGTGTCACATGAATGACAGCCATTTTTTTGAAATTAATAAAACTGCAAAACAATATATATATATATGTATATGTGTATATTTATATATACATGTGTATATATACATATATGTGCATATATGTATATATATATATATATCTTGCAAAATGACACCATCACTACATTTTGCCCACGATTACAATAATATCACGATACAGCGATTTTGCGATAATCAATATACTGCTCTGAAACCATTTCACACAAATTACAATATATTGTCAATCAGTGTCACATGAATGACAGCCATTTGTTTGAAATTATTAAAACTGCAAAACAATATATATATATATATATGTATATGTACATATATTGGGACTATTAAGTCACACCAGCGCCCTTTAGTGGCTGTCAGTGTGAACTGACAGTGTGAAGTCGCAAACCCAGCCAAAAAAATTGCGACTTATACTTCTGAAAATACGGTACATAAATTTGGGCTTTACAAATAAAATGTCCTTGACTTTGTTTCAGGATTTCTGTTGTGCAGTAACGTGTGGTAAACATGGCCTTGTCCAGTGATGGTTTTATATTCTTCTGTGTTGTTTTCTTTTTTTCCCCCTCACAGTAACTTGAAAAGTTCCCCTTACGTCAGTTCAATATGACATCGTTGCCGGTTGTTTTGCAGCCTGTGGGATCTGATGCAAAAACCCAGAGGAAATCCGTGTTGGACGTGTACTTCTTAAGGACTGTTTGCTCATACCAGAAGGCCATGAAAATAAATATTCAAATGCCCATCTCTAGTCCTGCCGAACCCAGAAGGTAAACGCACAAATGTATATTTGAACTGTGATATTAACTGTTGTAATGAGAAAGTAAAACAGGAACATTCTTGTGAACAGAGACACTAATAATTAGGTCATTTGAGAATAGGAGTGAATAAAAAACTCCCTGAAGAACAACAGGGTGTTGTTCAATGGACTTCCCCTCAGCTAACAGCCAGGAGTTCATTCAAAACCCATGACCTAAACTCACTTAAAATCTCGAGTATCACGTGAAAAAAAAAAAAGATCATGTGTTTGTTTTGGTCATACCAGGTGAGAACATGGCCGGCGTCCGACCTGCAACGGCGTCTTGTCTCCGACGCGCAAAGTCTGTGATTTTCCACACAAAAACCCCATCGTAGGTGCAGAACTGGAGCTCCCTCAGCAGCTGGTCCGTCTCCGACAGCTGCAGGTCCCTCATGTTGACGGTTCTTTCCAGTTGTCTGACTTTGTTAGATAGATTTTCAATCTTCTCTTGGTCTAAACGGTGTTGATGTGTGAAGGCCTCCATTGTGACCGAGCTTCGCTCCACTTCTCGATTCAGGACGCACACAATGTTTTCTAAAGCGGTAACCTGTAAAAAAAACAAGATTTGATTTAACTTAAATTGCTAAAACAAGCTAAAAGAACTATTCATGGTTATTAGAGAAATAATAGAGATAATCGGAGAAATATTGGCAAAAAATTACAATAGAAACAGGTAGCTAAGTGTTAGCATGAGTAAAAGGGAAAAAGTTGGCAGTAAGGTTTACTGTATTTTCCGGACTATAAGTCGCTCTGAAGTAAAAAGTTGCACCAGGCAAAAAATGCACAATAAAGAAGAAAAAAACATATATAAGTCACTACGGAGTAGCAGATACTGGTACACAAGCCTAGAGTGCCCTCTAGCGGCCGTCAGTGTGAAAACAAAGAACATGTGAAATCATATATTTTAATATATAAGTCGCACCTGAGTATAAGTCGCAAACGCAGCCAAAGGATGAAAAGAAAGTGCAACTTGTAGTCCGGAAAGTACGGTACTCTATTTATTTCTTTTCTTGGCGGTGGACTTTGTTCATTTGGCCCAGAGGGGCCACATAAAATTTGCATGTGCTATACTTGGCCCCCAGGCCCTACTTTGGACCAGAATGAGAAGTGAATAATCAGAGACTCACTTTTTTATCTAGAGTCACAGACTGCAACGAGGCTGAAGCTCCAGTGCTGCTCACGACTGCCTCCTCTGGAGCTCTGTACAGGCCCAGACCAGAATCCTCCTGCCACTCCCCTGTACTGACAGTGTCTGCACGTGCATGGACCAGCGACATTACCATGGACAACAGCAGGCGTAAGTGCTCAATGGTACTGCTGTGCTCATGGTCGCCGAGCTTCCCGTTCTCTGTCTGGAATACATGGAGTTCTTAACGACTAAAAACCAAACTCAAACTGTCGACAACAACACGTCATCCTATCGATACGTACCACAGACTTGCAGCCCACTCCACTGAAAGGGCAGGCGCTCTTGGACTTGTTGCAGTTTTTGGTGTGGTCGCTGAACTGCAGACAGAAAGGTCAGAGGAAAGGTCAGAGGAAAGGTCAGCGGTATATTTTCAAACCACGCCTCAACAAAAAATGTAGGTAAGAATCCGAGTATTTTCTACAGCAGCTACATTTACATATATATTACAAATATATTACTAATATCTATCCTATATAATATTGTGTATGTATAGCAACCCCTTTGTGATAATGGCTGCATAAATATAGGTATATGTGTATATGTCTACGTATATATGTTTGTGTATATATATGTAATACTAATTTAATGTTGTTATTGTACTAACAATAGTATATTACAAATATAATAATAATAATAAATAATAATTGAGATTGCAACACCACACACAGCAACAATAATTACAATAATTAGTTATCACTAACCCTAACCTATATCTACCACTACTAACCTACTAACATCCACCGTTCAGGTTCTTCAACAGTGCGCTGCTATCCATCCATCCATTCCATCCATCCATCCATCCATCCATTCATCCATCCATCCATCCATCCAAATATTTCTGAGGTGATTGAAGTCATTTCGTCAAACCTTTTCCCTTGGGATCTTCTTTTTGCCACAGTCTTTACATTGCAAGGGGAACTTTTGGCAGATTTCATCGTGAGCCTACAATAGATACATTTTGTTACTGTCTTGTCTTTAAAGCCTCAACTTGCCGGCGTGTGACTCACACCAGGCTAAATCAATCTCTTACCTTGATTTCTTTGAAGTTGAACGTCACTTTGCAGTACTTGCAGTTGAGCGTTCTGGCCTCACATTCTCTATCATCGTGTCGGCACTTCTCCGTGCGGAGGACCCAGACTTTACAGGCCTCGCATTGGATTTGTTCAAATTCACAGCGGCCTTCGTGTTGGCTCTTAAAAATGGAAAAATAGCTGTGTCATTATCAAACCTTGAGATGGCGATAACAACAGACCTCACATACTTTTCATATTCATTGTCTGATAGTTGGAATACTATCACTTTGGCACCGCAAATGGATGCCTGAGCGTACAGTTTGTCCTTCGATAAGAAGCTACACCCAGGAAACAAACCAAACACAGAAGCGGACGCACGGACAGTCATGGCCTTTTAAAGTATTTGATGGTTACAGTGTAGGAATAAATTGCTATTCTGAGCACTGTTTCTCTCTAGTGCCTCAAAGTTATACAAAACGAATATGTAACCATACCATGCAAACTATTCATTAGCATAGCCACAAAGCTACATTAGCACAACTACGTCAATATAATCACACACCAACATACGCTTTATACCATTGGTACTATATACCAGGGGTTCCCAACCCCTGGTCAGTGGACCGGTGCTGGTGCGTAGGTCGTTTGATACTGGGCCGCAGTTGGACACAGTGTACTTCAGTTTTACTAATTTACTTCACGCTAAAAAGAATCCAGTCATATCCCTTTACTGTTTTCATTCAAAGATAATCTGTCAATGTTCCAAAAACAACAGATCAAAGGTCATTCAGACTCTGATACTGACAGAAGAAAGTCTTTTTTTTTTTTTAATTACCATAACCTGAAATCCCAGATTTGGTATTAGAATAATAATTAGCTTCAGCGTGACAACTAGCTAAATCACATTAGCCTTGAGCTACTCATGCATTACCAGAATAGCATACCTGCTTAGCTTTATTAGCATAACCAGAATCTCAAAATACATTGCTAACTATAAGGAAAGGAAAGTGAACTCAGAGCACCTCAGTGGTAACTTGGCAGCTGGTGGACTCAAACCTGAAACCTCCCAGACCCAACTCCGCTTCCTTAACCACTATTTACTTATTTATAAGTAAATAAGTCACCTTTTGGGAGTCTCAACATTTAATTCTAGGTAAGGCCAGTCTATACAATATAGTTGTAACATTTTGTGGATCCAATATGGGGTTTATCAATAATAAATAAATAAATAAATAAATAAATAAATGAACAGGAAGTACGAAATGGAGGCGTGGTTTCATTGAGTGGGTGGAGTCAAAGGGCTCCCATGCCCAATGTATCACAGTATCTAAAAGCCGCAGGAGCTCAGAGCAGGAATTAACAGGTAAGTTAACCACATTTCCACTTACAGACACGTTACCGTGACAAGACTATTTAAAAACTAACTGATCAAGACATCTACACGTTTGCTACGCCGTTCCGATGACAGTCAGTCAGATTTTCCAGTTGGTGGTTGTGTACGGCGATCAAACAAACGACTCATTCAAAACAGACACTGACTAACACAGTGCACACACATGGTTTCATAATAAGGTACAGAAGGAAGTTATGTGTTTAATTTGCAAGGAAAACGATCAGAGCCACCTTCACAACAACGCATGCAAATGCACTTTCAGTTTCTTGCCTCAACATGTTTCTACTGCCACCGAGGCGTCATTCTTGAAATCCTACCTCTCGACTACAGATAACACCAAATATCAGAATTTCAGTATTTCATAAACACACCACACAAAACAGCAGCCAGACGCCACTCATTCCAGTGTCTTCAAACCAGACCAAGCAGCCGCTGACACTGAGAAAGCTTCTCTACATCAGGGCTTTTTCAGCTTTGTTTCTGTTTTTGACACGTCTCACAGCCAGACTTTATTTCAACAGTNNNNAACCACTCTTTCACTTTTCGTGTTACGGCTCTTTTTGGCGTCAGCCCACCATCAGCAGTACAAGATCTTAGTCGTGCACTGCTGCCTCGTGGCCTGCCTCGCGGTCTGTCTGGGACTTTCCCACTACTATTGTTGATGATCTGAAACTGCAGGGACTTTCCAGGCCATGTAAAGTTTCACTTCCTGTTTCTCTGAAGCTGCTACTGCTGAGCGAGTGTGTGGGTGTGGGTGTGCGTTATTTGAAAAACAAAAAAGAGAAATGGTGGCTTAGTGGTTAAAGAAGCGGACTTGGGTTCGGAAGTTTTCAGGTTTGAGTCCACCAGCTGCCAGGTGCTCTGAGCAAGGCAGCGTCCCCACACACTGCACACTCTCTCTCGGTGATGGGTTAAAAGCAGAGGCTCAGTTTCGTTGTAGCCCCCGTGTTACAATGACGATAAATAATATAATAAATAAGAAGCAACTGACATAAAAAGCTTTTTTTTTAATACAGAAAAGCAGAGAGGAGTGAGATTTAAGAGCTCACTGTAGACCTCACCTCGTACTCCTTCACTGAGCCTGTCCACGGGCAGCCCTGGTTCAAACACTTTGCTGGTAGACTTGCAATTTCTCGGCCCGCTGCATTGTCAGGGAAAGCCTGGAATATTCAGATGAAAGAACAAAGAGTGAGTCAGCCAGTCGAGACACCAGAACGTTCTGCAAAATCTACTGATGTGGAATGAATCACTACTAGTAATACAAGTGTCATGGTTTTATTGGAGTTGTGTCATCTTGCTTTTCCATTAAAGTAGAGCAAGAACAGGTGAAGGTAAACTATTAACACACACGGCTGATGTCATTGGATAACAATGTCTGGGTTCTTTTTCTTTTTTTTTTTAAAGTACAGGCCTTACTACTTACCTCATTACTGTTCAGAATCGAAACAGGCTCTTCAAAAATTTCCTCCTGGCGACAGGCTTCACAAGGCTTTGGCCCCGAGCTAACAAACAGAGCAGTTATGTAACTTTATAGTTCATGAAAACACAGTGAGCGGAATATTATTTTCATAATCTTCTATGACTGAAATGAATGATCACAGATCGAATGAGTAGATGTTTCACAATGATCAGTAAGTTCTGCACTGTGCATGTCTGTGTGAGTGTTGGGAAAATGTAGCAGAGCATATAAATGACTATTAAAACACACTCACAGTCAGAGCTAAACTAAAAAAAGCCATGTGAAGATTGCAAAAAAAAAAAAGAAAAAAAGAAAAGACAGTTCTTTGTTAAGGGTCAGAGGGAACGGCAATATCAAATTTATATTATATTACATGCTTATGATCTCTTTTTGCCGTGGTGTTAATTAAAAAATGTGGGCTGGTATATATATATATATATACATATAGGTATATATGTATACATATATTTGTATATATGTATATATATCTGTATATATACATATATAGATATATGTACGTATATATAAATATACACAAACATATATGTACATATATAAATACACATATATATTTATATATATGTATGTGTATGTATATATGTATATATCTAAAGGCACATATAGATATACATATAAAAGAGCATGACATCGCCAGGTATCTTGCAAAATTATGCTATCGTGATATTTTGTCCACGCTTACAATAATATCAAGTTATAGCGATTCAATATATTCAAATATATATATACAACAATATATTTTCTCCATGACTAGAAACAATTTTTGTCTGCCACAAGTGTTTCCAGTCAATCACAATTGTAGTATAATAGTACAAATAGGATCCTAGTACATAAAGCTAGATGTGCTGGCTAGCTTCCCTGTCGTTTATTGTTTTAATATCGATTCTTGCGGCCAGTATATCGATAATGTACCGCAAAACAAAATATTGCTTTATATCAAAGTATCACTATTTTGGCACGCCCTTAACACATGCCAAATTATTGAGGGGAGTAAGAGGTAGAGCCTGTTTTTCCCGGTCACGCAAAGACAGTGTTAGCTGTTTGCAAGCAAGCCGCAAATGATTCATTGGGAAGACGATGATTTGCCAGTTTCTGACTCCCAATCAAGAGCATCAGAAACTGGCATGTTTTCATCCATTGCCTACACCTCTTTGCTACTCCAAGTCTCCGCACAAGACCCTCAACCTTTACTTTGTTAACATTTGTTTCTTCATGAGGTTTCGCGCTGTCTGCTTTTTTTCCCAAGGAAATGCACTACAGGTCACATCCTCTCTTTGGTTGACTTAGATTATTTGGATTGCCAAATAGTCTGCTCCACTATAAGTAAACTGCACTGTGGTTCCCCTGCTAGCAAACCAAGGTGCATGTCTTTAAGGTGGATCATAGTTTTTACACCATTCAAATCAAGTGGACAATCGAAAGACACAAGCGCTAGTCTGTTTCAAGTGAACCAAAGAGCTCAGGTGTGAATGTGTGACAGCAACGAGGAATAAGCGATTTTACAAAGATCTTTTAAGGTCAACATTGTAGGTAAAATTCATTTAAACTACTGTTTCTGACAGAAGTGATAATTAGTGAGGTTGGTGAAAGGGAAAAACACAATGGACACCTTTGGAATCAGTGGAATCAGTGAGCCCGATCCTTGTCGTTCACCGACATCAGTGTTAGAGTTCAGTCATGTGAGGGTTGAGTCTGAGTAAAGTAAATGACCTCGGGTGCATCAAAAGAAGAGGAATAACTCCAAGAGGCGAGCAGAGGTAAGAACACAGGATGTGCTGAAGTGTGTCCAGTAAAAGGGTAAGGATTAGATGTGGAAGAGGGTTTGCATTTCACACGGTTGTAGGTGGTCCTTGGACCTCCAGTGTACCTGGTGAGCTGCTTGAAGCAGTGCACACAAAAGCGATGGCCGCACTGAGCCTGGACAGGCTTCCTCAGGACCTGGAGACACTGCTGACATTTGTATTTATTCTCCATAGGCACCGAGAGAACACTGCGTGGTATCCCAGGCAAAGTGTTCGGAGTGTCCAACAAGATTCGAGACATTCTTCCCATTAATCTGGAGGTACGTCCTGTGAAGAAACATGGATGTGAACAACAAGCAAACAACATTAGTTCAACAAGAAGACACAGCAGTGAAACTCTGGGTCTAAATGATCTGAATGGTTACAAACCAAAGTAACATGTTAAAGGTATTTATCGGGAGCTAGCTTGATCAACATCCACCATCAATTGTCTTGCTTTTCTTGGGGTTTTATACGGCAGTTGCATACTTCCACCATCCAGTGCACATTACATCAAAGCCACCCATGTTCCTGTGATTGTTTGATTCTTGTATCCGCTGGTATCTAATGGTACTGGTATGTCGCACTTCCTGTTTTGACTGTATTCCAAAAGAATCCAGTCATATCCCTGAATTCCTGTGAATCCAGTCATATCCTTCAAAGATAATCTGTAGTAACAGATCTGCGGTGACGACTGATACTGGTCGACCAGTCTTTGGTACACAAAAGGTTGCGGAACGCTGGTCTAAAGCCAAGATGGCCGCCGACATTTAACTCCAATAAACAAAGGTCTACATTTCATTAGGATGTTTTTGTACTCAAATGTTTACCAGTAGAAACGAGACTAAGTTGGAGGCAACAATGAAACTCAAAGGACAGTAATAAAGTAGCCGATAAAACCTAAAGAAACAAAGGCGAGGATGGGAATCGTGTTTTATGTTGCAACACATTTAATGATGAGTTATGCTATGACGTGATGAAAAGGTGTAGAGCTCAGAACAGTGAGTACTCAACACTTCAGCTCCCAGGAGTGGAGCATTGTCTTAACCTGTCCTGCAGTGCTAGTCCACCAGGCTATATGTAAGACTTTTTTTAAGCCTGGTTTTCTTCAGTGCAACATGTCTGCAGTTAATCTGCTGATGTGCCGATGACACAAACAGTGTTTTGCAATCCTGAGTCTGAATGCCACTTCCCCGTATTTATCAGAACCAACTGTTCTTTTCTGGGAACACAAACTGGCTGCGGACCAAGGTTGACGACTGTACAAATAGCATGCAGAAGTGTCACCTTTGGTAGGAAAACATCTGTGACGACATTAGCACCACCATGTGTTGGTTTTGTTTTTAACAATTAACCTAAATAGTAAATCTATTGCACTGATTCACATGAAACCATCTATCTTAATCGTCATTGTGCACAGTCCTCAGTCCTAAGACCCTGTGGGGGGGGGGGGGTGTCTATAACTAACATTATGGAGTACTTTACTTTAACATAGGTTTGCCAGGCCAGAGGGTGGTGAGCAGCTACTGGCTGTAGTGCCACCATGTGAATGTTTTATGAATAACAGGTCTAGCAAACTGTGTCGTGACAGAGGAGAATTATCTGCTTAAGTAGATCTTTGATAGAAAGATGCTGTAGTTTTGGTTTTGCACAATGATGAGGTACAAGAGCGGAGAGATAAGATCCTAGGTAAAGTCCATGGAGGTAACTTTATGTCAATTCAACAATTTCCAGATGATTCTGCATGAAAATGATTTTCATTTTCTCATCTGTGCATTGAGTTTATATTTATAAAAACGGTTAAAGTTTAAAACTATAACTTTCAATCTCTTTGTGTCTGTACAAACTTTTTTGGACTGTGTTGACTGGTATCAATTTCTGGATTTTAATGTTTAATGGGTAGAATTGAATTCAACTTTTTTTTCTTGTTCTTGTGCTATATAAATAATGGTTGGAGCCCTAATCCTAATTTAGCAAATTAGGGATTCATCTTCCTGTAACAGTTTTATAAAGTTGACTTATCTGGAAAAATGTTGCTGAAGTCGCTGTGTTGCATTTAATTTAATTACATTTTATGAACTTTTTTTGTCACCCCACACTGGGGAAATTCTTCTTAGTAATTACGGTTGCAAGATTAAATGTAACCTTTGAAATATTTCTGCTGAATGGCAACAGGTTAAGGGTTGACAGTTAACTTCTGTTAGCAAAGGGCAGATACGATATGAGTTAGTAATACTTTTAAGTACTCCCTTTTATGATGGTATTTACTACCACACACACACACACACCAGACGTCTGCATGGCTTTTAGTGACACGTAGCATTCTGTCTGTTGTGCAAACTAACTCAGGGTGATTTGTATAAATTTTCCTCTGAGACAGACCTTTCCGAAATAGAACTTGGAATTTTTATTTACTGCAAGTACTTGAAACTTAAACCAGAAATGGAAGCTTCTGGTTTTAGAAGAAACTAAAGCCAGAATTCAAATTCTTCAAAAATACTGATTTGACGTTAGGGGAAGTTTGAACACAGCACACACAACACAGCAACTAATTTTAACATCTCATTCTTACACTCGTTTACTCAAAATGTCTTTCTGTCACATCACAAGACATGGATGTGATGAGTTACAAAAGTCATATGACCAGTGAATAACCTCAGCATGTGGCAAACCAAGACAACAATTCTTCGTTGTAGTAAACTGCCAGACAATGATATATGTGTACTGGTCTTGACTATGTGCTGCTGTTATCAATACGTATGTTTGTATCAACTTAAGCTGAAGTTACTGAGTGGGAAGTGGAACAGAAAAGGGTTTAGTGGAAAGTGGAACAACAGTATCTGACATTTCTTGTATATGATTAGTAATTATTCAGTGTTTCTTTCACTTCACGTGTGTCATTGTGAAATTCAGTTTTGATTGTTAGGAAACCCTCCTATATTTGCTGATCAGATAGATCAGTCCATGAAATGACTGACATTCCAACAATGGTACGAACCAGCATTGCGCCATCAGTCTCTATTGATCTCAGAGGTTAGGTGTGTTGAAGAAATACCACACTCTTGGCTGTGTTATTGTAATGAACAGTCAACAAAAAGCCAGGTTTTAATAACACACAAAAGCTGTGGATATTTTCAGGAAGGTGTGTTCCATGGAAACTTAACTCTCCTACAAACAGTAGGTTAAGCAACCCTGAACTTTGTTGCTTTGCACAACAACAACTACAGCTTTACTATTGCAACACAGGTTAAATTTTTGAATCCAAATGGTCAATAGTTAGAGAAGAAACCCCTACCACTAATTTCCTTAACACACACACAATGATATTATAATAAAATAGCAACCAGTCTGTACCACTTTAAGAACATTATAGTTAATCAAAAAAAATAAAAATTATCATCTTAAAGGTCCATCATCTGTCCCCTGCCTCTTCTACTATTCGATCAAACACAAAGCATGTACTCCACGACCCCACTGTGAACCATGTGGCTTCCAGCTGCATCTTCAAAGTCCTTTGTCTGACATATCCAGCACATGTGCAAAACATCTCACCTCTACCTTCACGTTTGTCTCAGTCTTTAAACCTTACATTAGTCATTCTTATAATATACACAACGGTTTTCCTACCCCCCAACCCCACGAAGTTTCAGCTTTATCTTCGTCAAGTTTATGATAGACCCTGCAACTAAAAATAATCGTAAGATATCTTTTAATATTTTCTCTGATTTGGCAATTCAATCAAAAACAACAACAACTAACTAAAGTGACTTCTAACTCCAAACAGAATCATAACCCTTTCCTTAGTTTATTGAAATAAGAAAAAACTGTTTTCTACTTTAAGTAAACTTGCCAACATGTTAAGTAACTTAACGTAGTCAACACTACGGTCTGCTTCTGAGTTGATCTCCTTTTCGAAGTTTTACCAGCTGTTTCACCTACGTTTACAAACGTGTAATACACAAAGCAGATACGTTTATACTATGCACAAAGTCGCATTAAAAAGTAAGGACAAACTGTGGATTCAAACGAGCAAGGACACCAGGACAGGGAGAGTCGGTAAAATCGTCTCCCCGAATAGAGCCATAAGTAATGGAAACAAAAACACTCGTCACTGCACGAAACCCTCCGCCATGTTCTCCGCCTGTGCCTGTCTCCTCAAGTCTTTATGTATTTCTCTCTCTCTCTCAGCAGAAAACTCGCTGCACTGGACAGACCGTAGTCTGCAGCCCGAGCTGCTGTGTAAACCGAAAACGAGCATTTACTCACCAAGTCTCTCACGTCTTCCCTTTTCTACTGCTCCATCATCCTTACGACATGGACACTTAAATAAACGCCCTTCTCATCGAGGGTGGTCCTTTGGTTTTTTCAACTTATGTGACTGTGTGTGCTGGTTCAGCTTACGGTACCTATGCTAAAGGGAATTTACACTTACGGACTATATGTGAGCGCGAGTTCGAGTATTAGTGTACAAACGTTTGTAACTTTTAGTCACCGCACGGACTAGTACGTGTTACTATGCCTTTGGTAACAGTGTTCTCCTGCAACGACGTAACTTGTTGGTCACTGACCTTGTTATTTAACTACAACTTTCGCAGCAAGAAAATGCTAACTGACCTTTAAAGATGCCGCTGTTGCCTTTTGTCGACAGACGTGGAGTTAAATGTGTGTTATTTTCTGTCCCCGCGCGAGGAAAATCATGGTTACTAACGCTGTAATATGCGTAGGGAAACCTACTGGGTAGGACCGAACCGCAAAAAGGAAGTTTGTCCGCGTCTATAAAAACAAGTCAAAAAGAGAAAGAACACACTCTAAATTTACTATGTCCTTACAATGTAGGATAGAAATGATACTTAAATTAGATATATTCTGTATTTATATAGTGTTTATGTCCACATTATTACGTGAGAGATTGCTATCGTGCTTTAACCAAATCCGTCAAGCTTGCGCAAAAATGTCAAGATCTTGTTGGCCTTTTTGAATTGTAACTATGTCAAGAAATTGTGAAGTGAGTGCAACAACATAACATCTTGTTGGCCTTTTTGAATTGTAACTAAAATAATGATCTTAGAGAATGAACAAACTTGTCTGTGTCTTTTTTTTTTCATTTTAACCTCTGCACATTGGGGTTTTGCTCAAAACAAAATTAAAAATGCAGTCAGAAGCGTTTTATTTTGAAAAGGCAGTCAGTTTCAGTCAGTTTCCACTTTAGGTCTGTTTTGTGGCCAAATAAACTGCTACATTTTTTTAAACAGGCCAATTGAAGAGAAAACCTCAGGGATAAATGTTTCCAATTGAATTTACTGAGAAAAAAAATTACAATAAGCAGATTTTGCCAATATACTGTTTAACGTTGTGGTTTGCGCATGCGCTCCAATCACAATGTCGTACGTTAGAAGACCTCTGCTGCAGCTTTTGAATCGGAGGCACGTTCTCCTAACGTCGTCAGGTATGACTTTATACACGGTAAATAACGTCACTCCGTTTCGTTTGTTATTTAGTTAAATAAATAAATGAATCCATGAATATAATGTCAAATTGTACAAACGACATTAAAATGTCAATACGTAGCGGCTAGCATAGCATGCTGTGAGTAGGTGTGTAACCGCAGGGTGAACTTGTCAACAAAGCGACAAAACAAAACAAAAGTGTTCTCGAACATTTAAAACTACATTTCAGGCTGATATGTTACAGTCATTAATTCACCGCTTGTCTTGAAAAAGGTCGTGAAACTCCTTGTGACATCGCTTGAAACAAAAGTTATTTCAATTCGAAAATCCACAAACAAATGCACAAGATTTACAAATTAAAAGCACGTTATAAATGCGCGTTAGACAATTTACAAATGCATTTTATGAAACTAACAAATATCCTCACATGCATACATTTTCAAAATACATCTGTAAATATTTCCAAATGCATTTGTGAATCCGTGTTTGTGTATTTATTATTTTTGAGACTGTTCTAGCTCCATATCATATAGCATTTAATATATTCTTGCAAATCCCACTTGCTATATTATCAATTTCAACGTTTTAAGATTTTTTTAGAATCTTTTTCAGTTTAATCCTGCGTTATTCATATATATTATTTTTTTAATCACACATCTTTTAATTGTCCTTTAACATTTTAATTGATTGTTGCTCTGCTTTTGTTTGCTCAGTGGGCGTCCAGCCGTTGCGCAGTCACAGCACCGAGTTCAGGGACAGCTGCTACGATGGGCTGTATCCTGGACATATTCCCACCACATCAATACAGAAAGCTTTGCTGGCTTTTGGCTCTGGTGTGGCAGCACTTCAAGACCCCTACAGACATGGTGAGACACTACCATATATGGCATGGCGAGGGGCTATGACCGCTCTTTCTTTCTCACCATGTACACTTACTTTCTGTTTGCTTTAAATCCCTCCCTACAGGATATCCCCTGAACTAATTTAGCCCCCTCTACTCAGGTCAACCCAAAATATAAAAAAACGAAAATAAAAGTTATATTTATATAAATACATACATATGTATATATATACATATATCTATGTATATGCTATAGGTGTGTATATATATGTATCTGTATACATATATCTATTATCTGTGGACTTCTGTGGACTTGTAGGTGCCGCTGTTCTGCATTAACCAAAAAAGTCTTCAAACTGTCACTGTTAACACAGACATTACATCAATAAAACTAAGATAAAAAAGAATAAAAGTATTGTTAATAGAAAACACACAGACATTACATCAATAAAACTAAGATAAAAAAGAATAAAAGTATTGTTAATAGAAATCATCTTTTTACAAAGATCACATTAGTCTGGTTGTTTAAATAGTAGCTCTCTAGCCAAAAAAAAATGTGAACAACCCAGTAATACAAGGATCAGAGTCGTATTCAATGGTTCAGATTAGACGCGGAATTTTTGCTCTGTAGTTTTAGTTCCGCCGTCTAAACATGGCCTAGGACACAGAGGACATTGATTATCAGCAGAACAACTTGACACGTTTTCTCTTCTGTCCACAGACATGGTTGCGGTCCTTGGGGAGACAACGGGTCACCTGGCCTTGATGAATCTCAGAGACATGATGAAGAATGACCCTGAAGGCCACACCATCCTAACGTAAGGCGTTGTCGTCACTGCTCGGTGCCTGTAAGAAAAGAGAAATCACAGTTACAGCAGAAGCTGTTGAATGTCTTGCAGAGAACGACCCAGAATCAGATTGTCCACACTTGACCTGGACCTGATGTCCGCGCTGCCCGATGGCACACTCGGCAGGGAATACATCCGTTTCCTGAAGGACAATGTGGGTGTTTGTGGAAATGTTTTCACAAGGCACTGCAGTGACGTTATACCAATACTTTAAAACTATTTTTATCTTCTCTTTCTGTTTCCTCTCCCCCCAGCACGTGACCCCTGACTCGAGGGCGGACGTGAAGTTTGTGGACAATGAGGAGCTGGCCTATGTCATGCAGAGATACAGAGAGGTCCATGACTTGTTGCACACCTTACTAGGCATGCCTACAAACATGTTGGGTAAGCCTGTTAGAAATGCCCCCTTTCTCCATGTTAAATTGAATGTAGACAAAAATTGTGTAAAAATGTTCAAATCAAAACAAATGAACAATTATGTTCAAAAGAAATCTGGTGTTTAATTTATTAAAACGGAGCCACGTGAGCTGCGTTAAAGGATAAAGAATGATTTATACTCCATAAAAAAAAAAAAAGACAGAACAAGGAACTTCATCGTGTGATGTATAATATTTTTGGCAATATTTAAAGCTAATGTTTTTTCCTTTTCGTTCATCTCAATTTTTTTTATTCATACGCAGAACATTTTATTAATGGTTAGGTACTTTTGAATTAATTAATTAGATGATTAGAGGCGGTGTACTTTAATATTTCACGCAATGGGTGTGTGAAAATACCCAACCATTACACAGACAAACTTGCTTCACCAAAAACGTTGTGTTAAGTGAAATAAGTGCATAGTAAAACAAAAAAACATCATTTTGAGGACGCAGCATATTTGATGAGTGACCTCGTTGTTCAAGTGTCTCCCACGTCCTCTCCTGTCCAGCTGTCTCAGCAGTGGTTCTGCAGTTCTGGCTGACCTCTTGTTTCACTTTTCGTTGATCTGATAAAATTATGATGACTTGACTTGTTGCCAGTACAAACGGTGCTGTAGAGATAATGAAAGTCTGAGTTGAGATTCTTTTGTTTTCACTCTTAAACTGGTAATTTGTGGCGTTTCCCAGGTGAGGTGGCAGTGAAGTGGTTCGAAGCCGCTCAGACCGGGCTTCCCATGTGCACGCTTGGAGCTGCGTTGGGGCCGCTTCGACTGAATGCAAGGTACAAAAACGAGAGTTTTAATCACACCACTGGTTTGGGAACACTTGGTCAGGTCTGTGTTGGTAACAATGCATCGTGAAACGGTTGAAAATCGGTTTGTCAGGTGTGAGCTGCGTCGTCTCTAAAAGGCAGTGGTCAATACCATGAGAGTTCACACTCTGGGGCAATAGGTGGCGCCTAAATCATGGACTAAAAAAATTGTGAATCGTCTCGTGAGTTGAATGTATCTTTACACTATTAATATTTTTGAGGACAACGACTTCAACAAAGTCTTGATAGGAACTTCTACGGGATCACCAACTGGTGGCCCATGGGCCGAATCTGGCTCACCATACCACCCAATCCGGCCCACGACTGGATTTCAAAAATAAGCATCAAATAATTATATTAGACCAAAATGTGATTTTTATTTCATGTTATTTGAGTGTCCAGCCACCAAGGTGTCTGTCCAGAAAGAATTCTGGCCCTCTTTGTAGCCCTGATGAACATAGTTGTTATGTCATTTTTGGTTTCACCTTTAAATCACCTTTCGTTTGCATTAGTTTTTACAACAGAAGAGCCGTTGCAATGTTTAACCTGTTCAGCTCGTGACACCGGTCACTCTCAGGGTAAATGTTTGCCAGCTCACTGGGTAAAAGTCAGCGTTGGGGGAGCAGGAGGGGAGGGGGGGGCAGTTGTGTTAATGAATGGTTGGATCACAGGTAGAACGTATCAGTAATATTTTCATCCAGTGTGTGTATTATTCACTGTCTTTTTACGGAACTGT